TTTTACTTATGTTAAGAAAGGTAGAGGCAGACCTAAAAAGACTTGGTTATAAAATATTAGGAATGACCTTTCTTTATTAGATTTAAACGAGAATTTGACCTTTAATAGGACACAATGGAGAAAAATGATTCATGTAGCCGACCCCACGTAGTGGGATAAAGGCTTGATGTTGTTGTTGTTGTATAAATTAGAGGGGGGATATTTTCCCAGACAATCAAATATGAAATTTGTAGCGTTGGCGATAGTGCAGCCATTTCAAGTTGGATGGTTGAAATGGAGGAATGCATCGGGCTTGTTGTGCGATAGAAAAGTCCCCTTCAAACTTAATGGAAAATTCTATAAGATGATGGTGAGACCTGTAATACTTTATGGTGTCAAATGTTGGCCATTAAAAGAGAAGCATAATACTAAGTTAAGTGTTGCAGAGACGGTGATGCTTAGGTGGATGAGTGGCTTTACTCTTTGAGATAGAATACGAAATGAGCATATACGTGAAAAAGTTGGAGTAGCTTCAGTGGAAGCTAAGATTAGAGAGAGTCGCCTTAGATGGTTTGGTGGCATTAAACGGAGGCCTTACAATGTCCCGCTTCAAAAAGTTGAGGTATTAGATTTGACTTATGTTAAGAAAGGTAGAGGTAGACCTAAAAAAACTTGGTTATAAAATATTAGAAATGATCTTTCTTTATTAGATTTAAATGAGAATTTGACTTTTAACAGAACACAATGACAAAAAAAGGATTCATGCAGCCGACCACACGTAGTGGGACACAGGCTTGATGTTGTTGTATTAAATAGGTCTAATCATTACGTAGCGTATAGTAGCAACACTTTTAGGGTTTGAATTTGGTTATGAATTTTTGACTTCATGATTTGAAATTTATCACCATAAAATTAAAGCGGGTGATGGGGGAATGATGACCGGCCTGATCAAGATCCCATGGTTTCGTCATATCGAGTTGTTATGGTCGCTGGTTTGTTTAGTCAGAGGAGGTAGTCGACTCAACCTAACAGAAGGAACCTTGTAGGCATCCATAGGTTGTTTTGTCCAAGAATATCTCATAAACCTCGGGTTGATGTTTGTCTAAGGTGATAAATTTAAGTCAACCTTAGCTAATAGTGGGTTTTATATCTTATAGAGTGCACTTTATAATTCATTACTTAAGGGGTTTTTAACCATTAGAGAACACTTGAGCTTTGATCGTAATATTGTGGTTCCATTTTGCAGCACAACCACTTGATCAAAGGGCACGTGCCAAGTCCTTGTTGTGATGAATCAGCTGAGAATGAATTGTAGTGATACATTCCACAAGGCATCGACTCTTTATGAGCTGAAGTGATTCTTCAATTCATCATCCTTGCCAAACTGTTGCGAAGTGTGGATGGTTTTTAGTTTAAAGTTTTTGTTGATTAAATTTTCATTTAAATGTTTAAAATTTAGTATATATTAGATTTTGAAATTTTAATAGGCTTTAAGAATTGACTCTTTCGGTTGAGTTTTACATTCAACGCAACCATTATCGGGGTAACTTTATTTTCACTTTAAATATTTTTTGTATTTTGCATTGGTTTGAGTATTTTGAAAGATAGGGTCTTCTCCAGTTGAGATTTTTTGTCAACATGAGCATCATCGGTGTGATTTTGCAATCACTTTAAATAAATCCGCAAAATAGTCTCAGATCTCGCATTTAGGAGATTGACATAAATATCAAGTGGAATATATTTTAGCGTATAGATCGGAGCTATTCTCAGATCTCGTATTTAAGCTTGATATAATGATCTGAGTACATGTGGAATCTAAAATTGCTTCAAGCAAAATGGGTGGAAACCTTACTTCCACAGTTTAATGGAAACCATTTGAATTTTTCCTCTAACAACTTATTGACGACGACCCAAGACTCTTTAATGGGAAGGGATATACAATGTCGGGCCAACTCTCTTAGCGATGATACATTGCTTATGCCTTCTAGGATTGACAATTTCAAAATGTTTCCACGGCCTAGTTCTTTATATGATTGACCTTTCAGGGTAATCATCTTTCATTCATTATCCCTCTCCATGTATGGATTTTATAATTCTGTGGTATCACTCCATTAACCACGATTTCACTTTTCAATTTAAGCATCTTATCCTTCAACTCTTGGGCCTCTGCATCCATGCTTATGCTATTATGTGTTTTTATCATTGTGGTGAGGATGATATAATCAAGCTTACATTTATTTTCCTTCATGAGCAAGGACATTTCTTTCATTACATCAATATCTCTAGGTTGCCCATATGCATTGATGTGTGTTTAAGAAAGGAGTATCTTGAACAACACCAGTTCAGGGATTTCTATTTCTCTAATGAAGAAAGGAACCTTCTCCACAAGCTCTGCTTTGGCGTACCCACTAACAAGTGCACCGTAAGTATTGAAGTTTGGTTTGATTCATTGAGTTTTTATTAACTTAAAATAATACTCCATCATACCAACCTTTTCTGCTCTCCAAAAACATTCAAGCAATGTATTGAATGTAATTATGTTGGGAGAAAAATACATTCTCTTCATAAAATTAATAACTTTGTTCATTTTCTCATACTTTCCAGCCTTACCATATGAATTAATTAAAATATTGAATGTAGTCAGATCAAGGTTAATGCCCATGTGCTGAAACTCAATATACTACTTTTTCATTTCACTTGTCCTTCGTCCATCTCCATACACAATTATTATAGAATTTAGTGTGAATATGTATTTTGGAGAATTAGTCCTTTGGCTTAAAAGAATGGATCCATGCTTTGGAAGTGTAGTCCTTTGGCTCATAAGAGTAGATCTAATACAAGGAAGAGTATATATGTGGCTAAGAATGGATTTGTATTTGTAACTGTTGTCCTTTGGCTTGGAAGAGGTTGTAGTACACAAATGTGGCTGGTTTGATTATAGAGTGTTTGAATCCTTGAAAGATTAGTCCTCCAAAAGAGAAGAATTATAACGTCACCCCAAAAAAAGATTAAACACTTGGAACATTCATATTAAATTTCAGTTTATGCTTGTTTCTTTAAGCTACTAGGTGTGGTTCTCTTTTATATTAATTAAAACTATACATAATTAACTGTATTATATATATATATATATATAATTATTTAAAGTGACAAATTAATTGTGTGAGGGTCCCTTGCCATTCAAAATTTCGGCAGCCTCCCGGCATACCCTTCTCGTGAAGGGAGGTAGGAAAGTCACTTGCCTTTCAATTCGCCCGGCTAGATCGAAGATACGATGGCGTGAGGGCTTCATGATGATTATTCATGGCTCAAAGACTCTTCAATTGCTCGACACCTTTTTTTTTCCTTTTTTTATACAAACACTCTTGCATACTCACGGGATAGGAGATAGAAGATGGTCGGTTCTATAGGAGCAAGGGATTACGGATGTCATTGGGGTCGAAAGGTCATCGTTGGCCGATCGGGTGCAAGAGATCGGGATGGTGGGCTTGGATCGTGCGGGACGGAGGGTTGGCGACGAGGTTGGCTGAAGGAGTCGGGTCGGGCGTAGTTGAATTCCTGACGAGCGATGCAGATCAGTAAGATCGGGACGAAGTCACAGTTTGATCGGTCTAGGTTTCTTGTGAGCGGGAAGGAGTCGGATTAGGAGGTTGATCGGGCTGTGGCTGGGATCGGATCGGCGCCTACGGGCTTATGCTGGACGGTACAACAAAGGTGCAAAAGATCAAGAAGGACGAAGGCGGGTCGACCCGGAGGCGCGGGCACAAGTAGAGGAGTCGAGCGAGAGCAAGCAGGCTGGGGGTTTCGACTTCCTTGCGTTCGGTTGAGTTTGAATGAAAGGGCGAGTGGTTCATCTGGGAGTTTTATTGTTATGAGGGGAGCTACGTGAGAGGTGGTTGTGTCGCGTGTAGTCACGTTGTTTGGGGAGCAAACGTGCGCGAGGTGAATAGTTGGTGTAAACAAGACGCCAACATGTTGTAACTTCACCTCTTTAAATCCTGAAAACTTCCTGGATGAATCATGAGGAAGTCGTGATGGAGCTCTCTAGGGAAATACATCAATGAGACTAACAAAGTGAAAAGGAAATCCAGCAGAGATATCTGCTACAACATTTATTCATGAGACTGACTTAGGGAAAAGGATGGCAAGGCTAACAGAGTTAAGAAAGGTATTGGATTACCTAAATATTGAATTGTAGGTTTTAAATATGTAAATGGGAAAGCTTTGAGTGTTATGTATGTAAATCTCCCAAAAAAAGTTGATTTAGTTGAAACTATAGATTTCATAATGGTCTATATGAATAGTTGGCCTATGTTTAGTTCCATAAACATCCAAATCCAATGGAGAAAACTTAAAGAAATTTTCTTACTAAACTCTAAGTTAGAACCGCTTTCCCAACCTTCCTCTCATTTGAGATCATATTTATCATTATATAGTTGGTTCAACTTAAATTTTTTTACAATTGTAAAATACAATCTCAATTACGCGTTTAAATGTTCTACTATTAGTGAAAGGTCAGTGTGATGTCTGAAGTTAATTTATTCACTTGCACTAACTTATTGATGTTATTTTATACCTAAACAGATTATTGCTTCTGAGAATCAACCAGTAACGTGGACTACTCCCCTTGGATTGCCTGTTGTTCAGCCTTACAGAAATTCTGAAAGACATCTTGTGAGTCAGATTGGTTTTACCGAGTCACTAAAATCATTGAGAAAAGCAAGCTTGCCCAAAAAATTTATGCGCAAGTTTCTAATGACAGTTTTCTAATTTTTTTCCCCAGTTTATATGCAATTTATTACTTGTATGATTCATGGCTGAAACTTCTCCGATCACTTAAAACTCATTTTGAACTGAATTTCAAGGGAGAAAAAAGGAACCTTTCATTTTGGTTATAGCCATATTTGATAAGCTTTTGTTTTTTACGTGGTTTGGTGAATGATTATATATTAGTTTGGTGCCTTAAATTTTTTCTTTTTAAAATTTCCTTTTTTCACACTTGTTGGGTTCAGATAACTTTCCTACTAAGGATGAAAAAGGCCGTACAAACCTCAAAATGCTTAGAATAATCCAATGGACTATCTTAAAGAATTTAAATGAAGTGTTTCAAAGTTTGATTTATCGGTAGAAGCTGCACTTCTCGTCACTTATCGTGGGTTTCAAAATGATCCTTGTGGGGTGAGCAAGTCCCTCGCATTTGAAAAAATAAAATGTATCATGATTTTTTGATATATTTTATAACATGAGAAAAGGAGAATAATAAAATTAAATGAAAATGCTTAAATGTAACAACAACATCATCATCATCATCAAGTATTTATCTCACTAGATGGGGTTGGCTGCTTAAAATTATAAGATATTTAAATAAAAATATAAAATAACATTGAAAAGTATTTTTTACTCCAAAAAAGTTTATATGTCCTCTAGTTTTAAACATTTGTCTTGATATCTCCTACAATATTGTAATTTTATTTTTTTATCTGGACACAAAATAATTGGGTATCTCAATACGGTTCTTCAACATTTCTTGGTTCTTCAACATTTCTGCTAACTCATCATTTTTTCCCTTGATGTTTGCAGATAAGAACATCTCTTCAGGTTTTGGCTTTAAAAAGGGATGGATGCTTGGTGCGTCTCTATTCTCTAATGATCCATGCTACACATCTTTTGTCTATTATGTGCTAGTCTTGAGCTTGCTTTTGCTTTCTTCAGGTTGCAGCTAAGCAGCAAAAGACAGCTTTTCCTCCGAATTTCGTGCATTCTCTTGATGGTTCTCATATGATGATGACAGCTATTTCCTGCAGGAATTCTGGCTTAAAGTTTGCAGGTCAAATCTGAATTCCTTGATACGCAACTTTGAAAGCCTTTCTTTTGACATGAACGTAATCATAATGCTTCAATAAGCTTTATCTGAAATTGTCACTACCCGGCCCGGTTAACTCGCAAGGGCGAGGCGAGAACAGAGGTCGGACAGGATGAAGATAAAAGGAACTTCACAATAAACAATTAACATATCTCCAACATTGTATCAAACATAAGAAAAGAGCCACTACAAAATCTCCAAACATAAACTTTTCTTTTCTTTCATTCCAAAACACCAATAGATGAATTTAACATTAAGTTTACAAAATATAAAAGGGGATCGAAAATCCTTTTTTTTTTCTTACTTAACATTTCTAGACCTTCTATACAAAAATATCAAAACTCAAAAGAACCTGCCGCCCGTCGTCTCCCTACGACGGTAAGTGCGCGGTGGTTGGTCTGCCATCTATCCTTTCCTAGATCCTCCTGAAAAGTGTTCCCACAACGAGGGTGTGTCATACACTCAATAGGTGTGAATGGAATTCAAATGAATTTAAAGCCAATAAAAGAAAACCAAATCATGCTTGGATATTTTAACAAAAGAAACATCAACATAAAGAAACTTTGCTTAGAGGAAATGCATACCTTTACCTCAACTTTCAAGTGCTTTTTCCCTTCATAACATTTTCATTTTTTCCTTTAACATTTTGCCTCACATGATAGTCTCAAATGCATAACATGAATATGAAATGTTTATAATAGTTTAACATGTAAATATATCACCTTTCTCAGGAGTATCACTTGTACTGATCAGGTACATAAAATTTGGTCATTTTCCTTTACCATTGGTTCGTAGGAACCATCATTTACCATGGCTCATAAGAGCTTCCTTTACCATGGCTCATAAGAGCCTCATTTACCATGTGATACTCCCGCGTTAACATGCACATACACTTATTATATATATAACCATAAGAGATGTTTTATGTAAACCATTCATAAACTAATCAAGTGTATGTTTCCTTAGGGATATGCATGCTTGATATGCTTATATGTGCTTTTGCATGTAAAGAGGGAAGACATGTATAGTAAGAGTAAAGAAATGAGCATGGGATTCATTCATGTGTTGCACATTTGTATAAAGAGAACCTTTGTATTTACTTTAAGTGTCTATAAACTTACAAGGGAACATGAGTTATAAAAGTTCATAATGAGCATAAAAGAATTTGTCATTTCAATGTAATTGCAATGAAATAAGAGTTGTCTAAATTTATAAGAAATTCCATTCCACCTACCTTAATCCGTGCACCACAATGCGAACTTCCAAAAATCCTTACACCCCTTTTTCCTCTTATGAAATCAAACACTACAAATGACAAAACATAATGTGTAAGCATAAGTTTCCTCCCTCAAACCTTAAAAGAAAAACCCTAGACAAAGCATGTAGCTAATCAACACATCAAGCATTGGTTTTTCCATAAAAACCCCTCACTTAAGCCATGCTAAATCCACTTTATCTTCACTAGAATTAGGATTTCATCCTAACTCTAGCTTTTGGAAAACCCCAACTATTAGGGCATGCAAAATATCTCCCAAAAAGAATTCCGTCTTCCCAAAAAAAGTTCCTAATCTCAAATAGAAACTTTTCTACAAAGGCATTTTGATAGGAAAACAAAATCGGATAAATCCTAGATTTCAAAAATCCATATTTTTATAAAAGCAACTCACATAAGGGTTTTAAAAACATCACATTACTTTTCTCTAAGTTTATCTCAAAGAAAACTCTCATTTCCACAAAACTCTAATTTACAAAACACAATTTATTCTTATAAAACTTAAATCAAATTCCATAGTTATCTTTCAAAAATCATTAGGAAACATCTTTGTGAAGGTATTTTGAAAGAAAACCATTTCTGGAAAGAAACCCTAAAATTTTCCTTTCCAAAAATCTTGAGAAAGAGAGGGGAAAAATATATTCCAATGCATACCTTTGACTTCCCTTATCTTCCTCTTCAATTTCCCCAAGATTCCTCGCCGGAAAAGGTCGTCGGAGCCGCCGCCCGAAGCTCCCCCGCCGCCTTGTCCGTCCGCGTCTCCCCCTTTCTTTGCTCGGTTCGGGCGCTAGGAACGAATGGGGGACCGAAATATTTCGGTCCCCTATTTAGAGTGGGAGCCTCATTTCATTTGCCTAAAGTCCAAACTACCCTCACTTAAACCATTTGTGTTTTAACACTACTTAAGGGCATTCTAGGCATTTTCAAACTTTCACGAATTTTAATTCTTAAATTATGCGAAATTACATATGAGTTCTATATATTAAAACGATCAGAATTTTGCATAGGATTTTATAAAAATATTCCCGTCGAAATCCGACAGCTTCAAAATTTTCACTTAAAACTCATCGCGGCGCTTTGAAAAACGTGCGAGGTCTAAAATAGCATTTTCGGGTTTTAGTGAAATTGTTTAATATTCTATGAAATAATTGTCTAATAATAAACATTAAGTTGACGGATATCTCTTATTTAACCATTTTGGTCTGGTTTCTTAGAGAAGATTTGTTATTTATCAAAAACTATTTTGTATAGGTTCCTTACGTTTATCAGATTTGTGAATCCTTCTCATATCTGATTTTACCCTTATTTTTTTTGAAATGCCAATACATTCGTTTCGTGCTTATGGTTATGGGCCATATAGTTGACGAAAATATAATTGAATGTCCTTGTGATGGATCTACGACACTGTCTGCACTGCTTTTAGGTATACTGTAGGTAAAACATAATATTAAATTAACCTCTTCTGGAACTTCGATCCAAAATTACTAATTTCTCCAGTTTTTATATTCTTTATCCAAGTAAATTAACTCCCTTGCCAAGTTCTTTTATATTCTTTATCATGGTAACTTTACATGGGAGCAATAGCTCAGATGGAGAGGTCAGCGTGATCGAGATGGAGATGTAAATTTTGAATTTTATTTTATTATGAATATTAATAGAATTATTTTAGTCTGTGTCATTAAATTTATTAGCAATTTGTTCTTATTTTTTCATCTATAAATATAGGAATTGTGAGGCATGTAATTTTATTTATGGTAGCAATTTCAGTTCTTTTAGTTTAGGTTGCGAAAGGGAGAAATCAAGTGGAGAAGAAATGATTAAATAAGCACAACGAGTTCAAATGCTCTCTCTTGTTCTCTTAAGCTTTGTTTGGGACGGCTTTCTTACTGCTTCTTAAAGCAGCTTCCCAGGAAGCAGGAAGCTGCTTTAAGAAGCAGTAAGAAAGACATTCCAAACGAAACCTTACACTTAAAAAAAAAATACTTTCCCTTTTTATGTTTACAATGAATTAACTTTTTTTGGAGGGAAAAGTCAGTATGAAAGAGAAGCTATGCTTAATTTCTTAGTTTAAGTTTAGGATCGTTGTTTTCTGCTACTACCTGCTATGGAATCTAGGAAGAATTACTTGAAGTATTAGGAGAGGATAAGAGAAGGGGACAATTTAGAATGTTAATAAAATGAACAGGAGAGTTTTAACCGATGTAACATATTTTCTTGTTATCCCCGGCTGCATTGTGTAATTCAGAATGCACCGCTTTCTTTGAATTGTAACTAGGAGCAGCAGAACAAAACTAGCATATCAAAAGATGCCTAAATTTTTGTAGATAGTATAGTATTCAATGGAAAGTGAACAACTTTCTTCTAGTAAGGCTTTCATTTCAAGATACAGCTAATCTCTTAGTAAATCTCTCTTTGTGTTGAAACTGAATTATGAATACTAGGATGTGTTTAATCTGTCAGATTTGAAAGGTTTGAACGTTTGGCTGCAGGGGTCCATGATTCTTTCTGGACGCATGCGTGCGACGTGAACAGAATGAATCAAATACTAAGAGAACAGTTTGTGGAGCTTTACAACATTCCTATCCTCGAAAATGTGAGCAGATCCTACCTTGAATGATCTTCATTTTCCTTTCTCTATTATATATGGTTCTAATTTACATTTAGTTTCCAGATATAATATTTAAATTTCATTCAGAACATTAAAATAAAAAAAAAAAAATCTTTTACGATAGATTCTTAGTAATTTATTTGAAATTTTGCATCTTTGCAGTTGCTTGAGAGTTTTGAAACATCCTTTCCAACGTTAACTTTTCCTCCCCTCCCCGACCGAGGCGATTTTGACCTTCGAAAAGTTCTTGAATCTCCTTATTTTTTCAACTAATAGATTGTATTTATGAGAGGCGGTGATCTGCAATTCTCTGGTCTCTTCTGCTTGCATAATTCAAGTATTTTTTTTTTTTTCACCAACCAAACTCCTTCACAAGATAGCAGAATATCTCAAAGTCATGCTGGACATGCTCACTGCAGTATTCAAAAGAAGCAATGTACAATATTGTTTAGCAATCAAATCGACACAAGCATATGAGGCAAGTGGTTAGATCTCTTCTGATCAAACCTTTTATTTTTTAGTAGACCTAGCAACCCCAAATTGTTCTAGCACTTAATGTTTCTTCTGTATGATTTATTTGTCACTCAACAAGAGAAATAATATAAATAGTGCACCAAGTTCTCATTGGAGCTGCTGAGTGTTTACAAAAACTTCCACTAGTTCCTTTAAAGATTTGTTTGGGACGGTTTGTTTACTGCTTTCTAAAACAGCTTTTTAGTATAAAAATTTCTTATTCGCTCAAAAAAAAATTATAATAGGAAGCTGTTTTAAAAAGTAATAAGCAAGCTGTTGCAAATGAAGCCTAAGTTGTCATTACTTACTTGCTGAAGTCCCTGTAAAATTAACATAATAGCAGCAGACAAACTTAGATTCAACAGGTTGACTTGTGGGTCTCTTTATTTTTTTGTATTTTGAAATTGTAATATAAGGTTGGTTACCTAATGTTTCTCCTTATACAGATGAATATTATGTTTGATATTCCAAATGTATTTCTTTGATCTATCTTTTAGCATTATTATCTTGCCCATTCTCAATTCAATCATTGCGAACGATCAAACAAAAATAGACATTGGAATGGCGGTAAAATTGTTGTGGAGAAATTAATTTTTTTTAAAAGCTATAGAAAAAGCAGTTTATTAGGAAAAAATAGTCCTTAGCTATATTAAAATAGTTGTTTGATCTCTTAATTCTTTAAAGATGAATTGATAAAGTCTCACAATAAGTTTATTTTAATTTATTTTTGAAGGATTTAAAGTATTAAAATGATTCTTTAATATTATTAGAAATTTTTAATTTCTCATGCCAATTAATTAAGGATGAGCATTTTATAGTCATATTATCATTCCATGGGATTGATTAGTGTGACGCATTGGTTTACAGATGGAAAGTTTGAGAGATTATTCTGTGCGGACAACATACGGGAGAATCATCTGGTATCATTTGGTATCGAGTGTACTGTTGCTCGGTATCGAGAACGATATATTTTTGACGTGATGCGATATATTTTTATTCAGACTCTGCACATAATAATTTGCCTGAAAGTCCTCTTTTGCCTAAAAAAATATTATCTATTAACCGTCAAATCATGAGGTTGACTCACGTGTAGCCTCGAGTTCTCTGTGTTTTGTCTGAAAGCAGGCAAGCAGCATGTGCGAGGTTGGTGAATTAGGATGACAGCTAATTCAAATCATCGAAGAGTAAATAAAATACAATGCGGAGAAATTAATTTTTTTAAAAGCTATACAAAAAGCAGTTTATTAGGGAAAAAATAGTCTTTAACTATTAAAATATTAGTTTGATATCTTTATTTTTTTTAAAAGATGAATTAAAATACTCTCATTATAAAATTATTTTAATTTATTTTTTAAAAATTTAAGATATCAAAGTGATTCTTTAATATAGTTGGAGATCATTTTAATTTTTCTAAAAAAAAAAAGAAATAATGAGAACTCACACGCCAATTAAGGTGAGCATGTTATAGTCATATTATCACTCCATGGGATTGATTAGTGTGACTCATTGGTTTACAGATGGAAAGTTTGAGAGATTATTCTGTGCGGACAGCATATGGGAGAATCATCTGGTACTGTTTGGTATCGAGCGTAGTATTGAGTGTACCGTTGCTGGGTATTGTTTGGTATCGACAGTACTAAGCGCGGTATATTTTTGAAGTGATGTAACATATTTTTATTTATCTTTGGACAAAATCCGGACTCCGCACATAATAGTTTGCCTGAAACTGTTGAAGCTCAAATCTCATAACTTGCCTAAAAAGATATTATCAATTAAGCGTCAAATCATAAGGTTGACTCACGTGTAGCCTCGAGTTCTTTGTGTTTTGTCTGAAAGCAGGCAAGCAGCATGTGCGAGGTTGGTGAATTAGGATGACAGCTAATTCAAATCATCGAAGAGTAAATAAAATACAAATAAGATCAACGTGTGAAATATATCAAGCTTATCTAAGTGGTGGCTTCTATGAATATTATAATAGTTCTCACAATGATTTTTAGGATAATTTTGTTTTTAAATTATAAATTTTTATACCGGAAAACAGTAAGAAAGTTTGAGAATCAAAGCTCTACATGGGGTCCTAATTGGGTACCCATACTTTACTCGAAAGGGCTTCGCCCACTCATGATGACTTTTGGGTTGCCCTATCCACCTATACTCACCCACAGATTGATGGCCTTGAGGCTTGTTGCCCTTTGCTCTGATAGCAAACCTTCAAGCCGCATATCAGAATTTACCGTAGTCGCAGCGTGGTTAAGTGTTGCACACTACGTAGCGAGGATTGCAGTAATATAAGATATATGATGATTAGCAATGTAAATCAATTTATCCCCCGATGTTGAGTACCCATCCATACTCACTCACAAGGTCATAGGCGTATCCATATCCATTGGATATGGTACACATGGGTGGGTGTGGGTGTGGGTGTGGGTATGGGTACCCAATATAAGGCTGTGTTGAGAATTGTCTTAATCGGTTATTATTGTTTTTGTTTTTATTTTGTGGGATTTGAGATAGATTTTTTCTGTGGTGTCCACTATTAATACGTTTATGTGACAAAATATTCCCTGGTGGGGTAGCCATCTCACTCGTGTTTTTGGCTGTATTTTTGCATGGCGAGGGAGAAAATGGCTTCGTTGTCCACATTCGTTGGAGCCATAACATTTTAATAAATAAGTGGTTAGAGTTTCTCAATTAATCAAGCGGAATTGCCTCAAAATTTTCGCTGCCATTATTATTTTTCAAAAAGATTAGATGATTTTTTACCATTTTTTAAAGTAAATTTTTAGTATAAAATTTTTGTACTAAAAAATTATTTTAAAAAACATTTAAGTCACCCAAATGAAGCCTTAAGTTTCGTAAAGTGAAAGTTTATATCATACTTTTCTAACCCTTAATCTAAATCATTGGGTAGTTATTTAATCATAAAATTCAAATAATAATTTATTTATTTATTTTTTGTTTGTTTTATTGTTATTTTGTCTTTGAATATGTTTGATATTACATATATGATATCTAAATTTTGTTTATTTATAAAAAATAATATCTATTATTTGAATAATAAATACAAATATCTATATATTTGTGTTTGTCACAATCAGATTACTAGAAGTTTAATAGAAGTTAAAATGTTAATTTTAAAATTATAGCATAAAAATTATGGTAAATGTACATGGTGAATGCCCTGTTCTTGTAATTATTAAATTATAGGTTATAAGTGGCTCCTTTGTGCCTAGAAAGCTAACAATTTTATAACATGAGTTGCCACTATAAATGGAACTTTTATTAGGTCCGGTATAAGGACATAGAGGAAGGTCCGGTCGGAGGCAAAATCCAGCGAAAAAACTCGGTATTTGCTCGGTATTGCTAGGTATTATTTAATAATAACGAGGAATACCGTTCTGCGAAGACCAATAACGAGTTATACCTTTGTATAACTCGGTATTGCTCGGTATAACTCGGTATTAGGTCTTCACATGATGGTATTCCTCGTTATTGTTTTGTATTGCTCGGTATTTTCTCGGTATTTCTCATTTTTTGGCGCGATTTGACTTCCGACCGGACGTTCCTCTAGGTCCGATCGGAGAACGTAATAATAGACATAGCTTTTGTTTTATTCAAGGTTATCAACTTGATATTGTTTGAATAATTTCTTAATTTCGAGCTTTGCTTATAATATTTTGTTATCTTTTACGCATCAAAAGATTAGGTTTCGTTTGGGACAGCTTTTTTGCTGTTTCTTATAGCAATTTTCTACTAAAAACTTAAAATTTTTGTAATAAAAAGCTGCTTTATGAAACAGTAAGAAAGTCATCCCAAACGAAATCTTAGAAATAATCTTTTATGATTTTCTCAAATTTTATAGGGCATGAATCCAAACATTTTCCTCTCTAATCCCTGCCCTTCAATCAAACTACTCCTTGCATTGAACGCCAACTTTTCTAGTCAAATTCTCATATCTAAAGCCAAACTCCGCATTCAACATTTTTATGGCATTAAAAAACTCCTTTGATGAAATCTATACACACTCTATTCTTTTAAACATTAATACATCCATTCATCAATCTCCTATCTCAATTCGAGCTACACCAAGTTTGGATTTAAGCTTGATTAATTGAGTTCGAGCTCAAACTTAATTCAACTAGTTAGATTTAGCTTATGGGTCTAATCATTTATTATAAAAAAGAGAATATCATTCTTATTCAAGTAATTATAGTAAAAATATGATAGAAAAGAACAAATTAAATAGAAAACAAAAAATTTTGAAAATTTAAACAAATTTATTCTATAATTAATAAAGTCTAATATATCTTAAGTGAAACAAGCCGGCTCATGAGCTCACGAGTTGAATCAAATCTAAGTCAGGACTAGCTCAAAGATCTAAACTTAGTTCATAAGCTATTTATCAAATTGAATCTGAGCTAATGCAAGAATTAATTTTTTATGGAATTATAAGATTAAAATCGGTCATAGTCATACAAAACTAAACCATTAAAAAAAATAAAATAATAATTGTAATAATTGACGCCTAACATGCACGTTGAAATTATGAGAAATTGATAATATTATTCCATTTCATGGTGCTGTCGCCTTCATAATTTCAATATCTATTCATCATATTATGACAAATCGCTTAATTAAGGAATATAATTATCAAATCAGAAGAAGTGTACCAAATGGGAAGGGCTTTAAATAACTAAGAAAAAAAAGTTCAAAATTTATTGAATAAATGCACGAATTTTGATGTTAAATCTTAAAAAGCTGATTTGATATGACACTAATTTTGACACGTTTTTCACCATTATT